CATTATTCCCTTGTCCGAACCGCTCCCCCAGAATTTCCTCTTCCTTATCGGCTTTGTTTCGTTGAAGCACTTGCTCCCCTTCACCCTCCCCCAATCCATGCTCCTAAACAAACCATTACCCCAAACCAAATTCAAATTATATTTCATTTTTTCTTATATCATGCAATAACAGAAAAATAAAGATCGGAACCGAACCGAACCGAACCTCGTGTGGGTGGGAGACATCGTTGTAAAGAAGACACGTGTCTTGTTCGGATTGACGTTCGAATCCACCCAATTCGCCCAAGTCTTCAATCCTATTGTATAAGCAATTGGCGTGTCCAATTCTTCGTATCCTTCTTCTCCGTTCTCGAACGATCCCCATCTGTACACACATTACTTTCTATAAAAATTAATTTGTTACTCTTTAAATTATGATGCGTGGATATTCGAAAGAGGGGAAAAACTTACAGGGTTTTAATCTTGGCGCTACTCATCCACCAGACGTAGGTATTGAAGACAAGAATATCGACATTGGTCCAATGTTTGGAATGGTTGGCAACTGAGTCCACTCTCAGTATTCTTTGCCTCGGATCTCCAATTATGGGATTGTCCGAATTCGAATGCACCAGAAATGGGGCCCAGTAAAACTCGATCGTCGCATCGTATTCCTAAAATATGGAGACAACTTATTAAACACAAAATTGAAAGTACAGCAAATCAGCAGAAGAGAAGATATGATTCCGAACAAGTTGTACCTTAGCGGTAAAAACAGAGAGAAATCGGCCTCTCTTGAGAGACTTTTTATCCTCTGGAATCATCCACTCTACCATACAAACAAACGACTGCCACTGCCCACGCTGCAGCGAATCCCCGACGAACATCAGCCTCTTTCCTCTCAACTTTTTCAGCGCAGTCTCTGCATTAAATCTGTATCCAAACAACCCAAATGCAGTACCCCATCAAATCAAAACCCAATCTAACTTCTCTGTTCCGTTTAATCTCAGCTAAACTTTCAAACCTCGGCAACGCGCAATCGTCCGGCTGCCACTCCCAGTGCCGGTAATCGGAATCCACCCGCCCGTTCTTCACGCACGACACTTGCCGGTCCAGATACGGGCACGACCGGTCCGTGTACAACGGCTTTATCGACCGGTTGAAAACCCACTTACCGTTCACCACGCTGCATTCCTCCGGCTCGAACTCGAACCGGTCGTCCGTCAGCGGGTCCCTCCACCGCTCCTCAGCCGCCTTCTCCCCTGCCATCCAACAACACCCACGAAGTTAGTTTTAATTTGGTTTTTATGATTTTAAAAGTTTTAGTTTTTGGTTGTATTGAAACTAAATTAAAACTTTTAAAGCTACCTCAATCAAAATTTAAAATTTAAAGGAGAAGGACTGGACAAATTAAAAAGGAAAGAAAGTCAAAATTTTTACAATAAAAGTACCTATATTAAAAAAGTCATAATATAAAAATTTCTGTCGCTGCTCTTAACGATAGTAAAACATACTTGGTTTGGAGGGGGCAGTTTTGCGAGGGCATGACTTGAGTCGAAAAATGGTGATGTGCTCGGTGTAGAAGAGAGCGAGGAAGGCGAAGGCGCAGAGGACTGTGGCGAGAAACGTGAGGTGGGGCTTGAGGCGGGCGGCCGGAGAAGGCGCCGACAAACTCATTGGAGGAGGAGGAAGAAGCAGAGAAAGAAAGAAAAAGAGTAGGTTATAGCTACAGGGTGAGGAGAATGGAGAAATGAGGAGGTTATTTTAGGAGAAATTGAGGTAATATTTTATGGGTTTTGGAGTAGAAGTGAAGCTAAAGGAAAGTGTGTGGTTGGCTTTGAGTTTTATTACCTTGTTTATTGTGGAGGTTAAGGGGGGTGTGGTGGGTGGGTTGAGAGGCTAATGTCTTAAGCTTCTTCTAATCACTTCATTTTTCTTTTCTCTCCTCTCTCTCTTAGGCAGATTCAGAATCTCTTCATTTTGGTGAAAAAATAAATTTGAGGTCAATTTGTGAATCTGTTGTTTTCATATATTATTATCATTATTATATTTCCGCAGTGGAGTGGACTCACCAAAGACACTAACATCCATTCTTCCAAAGAAAAAAGACAAACATACACCACATATATGAATATTTCTTTTTGGATCAGTAAAGTTACTAATTTTGGAATTTTTTTCAGAAATGGTTATTTGGTTCCTGGTAGAAAATAGTAGTGCATTGGTATATTCATGAAAAGATTCTAGAATATGAAGATGAAATGTCTATTGAAGAGGATTTTTGAGAAATTATCTATCAAACAAAAAGGGGTCAATTTCAGGAAAAAAAAAACATGAATTAATTGTTCGGTTTTGTTAGTTTTAATCCTCTACCACTCACAGTCACATGTAGTGATTTTAATTTTTCATGCTTGTGTAATCATAAACTCTCCTTATTATCAACAAAACCAATCTAATTTAGCGGTAGTTGATATATATCTCTAATCAAGAAGTTGTGAGTTCGATTTCCCAACCCACATGTTGTACTAAAAAAAACTTCTTATTATCCAGGATATTAATGAAAATGATTGAAAATGTGTTAATAATTAATTTTTAATACCAATACGAATATAGCTCAATGGAAACACACATATTTTCATGGTTTGATTCTCACTCTACATTTGTTGAATTAAAAAAAATTCTGATAACTTAAAATTGTCAGTTTAATAATAATTTAATATGACACTAAAATGAAAGAGATCTACAATTTGGAATCGCATATATAATCTTCCTTTTATATTACAATCAATTACTTTGTAGATCAACACTAATATCCGTGCGTCAATATGGGGATATCCTACTCATTTCTGGATCGGAGGTTTGATTCCTTGTCCCTAAATTTGATTATATACTAAAAGAACATCAATATCCACTCCACAAATTTTGGTGATCTAGTAGTAGTAAAGAGAGAAAAAATCTATTTGGACCATTTTTCACTTTACAAAATTATTATATATTGGTCTCCAACCTCTAAATTTTAGTATCAAAACTTGAATGGAAACTTATAGCGGTTGGTTTGAAACTTTAACACATTGCCCATTGTACGTACGTGACTACATCACATAGATGAATAAAGTATATATGAAATATCATATTTCTATTAAGTTTTAAAAGTTTCAATTTAGTCTCTACAATTTGAATTTGGTTTCAATTTAATCATGCTTTCATAATTGTAACTATATTTACAATTTTTTTTTTCATTTGGCAGTTTTTAATTGAATAACTATGTTAGTTGACTATATTATAGTTTATATAGAAAATAAATGGTTTTTTTTCTGCATAACTATGTTAGTTGATTATATTATAGTTTATATAGAAAATAAATGGTTTTTTTTTGCTCGGTAAAACACAATTTCTAGACAACTTATCAAGTTTAACCAAACCATAAGAAATCAAATTGAAACTAAACTCAAATCATACCTATCAAATCGAAACCTTAAAGCCATAGAAACTAAACTAAACTAAATCATAGATCAAACTGAAACTTTGCGGAAACCATATGAATCAAATTTGTAATGGAAGCGAACTAAAATGATTATCTAAAAGTTGAGAAAGAAAAATGAGTTTGAAGAGAAATAATTGGAAGAATGGAAGGAAGGTGTGAAATTGAAATTAAAAGAGAATAAGGTAGTGAATTGGTAACGCAGCATTGTATTGTGAGAAACATTAAGCAATACGCAAACCCTATGATTTCCCAACAAAAAGCAATGATTGTCCAAAACAAAAGCCAATAATTTTGCATTTTCATTTTCATTGAGGCCCCACGTCGAACACCTTGTGCTCATTCTCGACATGGACCAATCACCCCACGCAACTCCTCAACATTATTTCTAACCCTCAACCAATCCCCTTCTCAACCTTGAAACTCAAGCTTTTTCTTTTTCTTCTTCTTCAGAATCTGAAAACGCCACCTCTGCAGATCACACAAATCCGAATCCACAGTGGAATCGAATCCTTCAGTTTTAGGAGCTATCAAAGTTGATTTGCATTTAGTTGAAAGAGCGCCGCCGCGGCATTTTATACCCACTTTCGGCTTTCCAAGCCAAGAGTTTTGTAAACATTAAACACCTCCCAACTTTATCCAAATTTTAAATTAAGAAAATCACAATTTTACTTTCTCAACACTCCCTCTGAATTGTTTAATAGATTTTGAAATTTTCAATTTTATCTCTAAAATATAGATAAAAAGTGTCTCTGTCTTTACAGATTAGAGATAAAAAATATGGAATAAGTTAGAAATTTATTGGACACAGAATTAAAAGAAGTTCAAGAATATATTAGATTTAAGTAAACTTGTAATTGTTTGTTTGTTTTTTTCTTTTGTGTTGTGTGTGTGTGTAATTTAACCAAAACTTTTTACTTTGTGATGGCAATGGCCTCTCGCCGTGGGAGGGACTCTCTTAATCTCGACGAAACTAATGGGCTTGTAGGGCCTAATGTGGGCTTCTTTGGATGGGCTTCCAACCCATTATGAGAGTGTAAAATTAAAGAAATTAGAGATCTAACTTCAAAATTGTTAAATTGTAAAAAGTAGGTTAAATATATTTTTTTAATTTTTTCCCCCCAAAAGAACTACCATTCAAATAAGAGGATGAATATTTTAACGTAGGCTTTTTAAGAATAGTTATTAATGTCTTCACTGATTAAATTATCCAAAGAATAATAAAAGCATGTTGATTTTACGGACTCGCTTCATCCAAGAATTATCTAATTGTTCTTTGGGTTAAACACTATGTGTTTGAACATGAAACCTCAAGGTAGGTAGTACTTCCAAAGTCCAAGTGTTCGCCGTTGCACCATCCACAGGGGGCAACAATTTCACTTCTATTATTTTTAATTAATATCGAATCACATAAATTGTTAATTTACGTTATTTTCTCCCACGTACTAATAACCTACTAATACTTATACATTCAATTTTAAAATTCTAATTAAAGGTAAGAGGTTCAAATATACATAATTCCCCTATTGAACTTGAAAAAAAAGTTAATTGTTTAAGTCTGCCCCGACAAAAATCAACATAGAATGGAGAGGACAATCCTGATATTGTGTTGGAAAAGTAAACTTTATTGGATTGGAAAGGGCAAAGAGTGAACGTGATACGATGAAAATTTAATTACGTTTGGACAGAACATAACTAAGAACGAGCTATTCTATTTAGATTAATACTTTTGCTTACTAATAAAAAAAATACGGTTTTTTTTAGATATAACAAATATATATTATTTCCTGCTCCCACCCTCTCCTCACTAAACAATAGAATTTGATTTTGATGCTTCGACAGTTTTTTGTTCAAAGGCCTATGGTATGAAATGAGACAAAATTACTAATTTTGATTTGCTACACTCAAATACGTTGGAATAGCTACTACTATAAAATTAGTTTCAATATGTAGGCTAACTATTAATATAAAGCAAGAAGAAAATGATGGTAAATATTTTGAATTTCATAGTGTTTTGTTTGGATAGTTATAACAAATTAAATCTCTCTTACACCTCAAAACTAAAATTATTAAGTTGAGCTCAATTATATTTTCAATGCTTATTCTCTGACACTAGTGCAAAGCCCATTTAAGAAAAATATATCATTTCATGTGTTGAAATTTCTCAGTATATCTTATAGAATTATAATCTTTTTGAATTGYCAGTAAGTGGTTATCAAATGATAAGGTACAAAGATCTCCTACCTTGATATCATGATAAATCATCGGTCGACTGATCAAAAGTTTAAGCTAATGAATTATGGTAAATTTAAATTATTTATCAACGTTTTAACAATAAAAAAAAAGAACAAAAGAAAGAAAGAAGAAGCCAGCAAAATGTCTTAGGTATGAAAAGAACGAGGATGAAACTAAAGTTTATTTAAATATTTGATCCTGTGACTTTATTTTCATATTCTTTTTATTTTTTCAAAAGGACTAACAAAAAAAATTCAAGAAAAAAAAGTCACATAATTTATTTATTTATTTTAAATTCGGAAAAAAAAAGTTGTTTGTCAAATGCTAATTTTATTACGATCTAACTCTCAATGATTGAGATTAAAAAAAAAAAAAGTTCTAATCTAGAAAAACGTAAATACTCTTATTGCTTAAGTGATTCCTATATCGTAAGTAATTGTTCTTTTTGTTCCTACTATAAACTAAAGTATTCATAAATAGCCTTAAAAACCATACATTATATATCAATCAATCTACTAGGTTTATGTTCATATCACCAATATTTTTATTAAAAACAAAATTCATATATCAATCAATTAAATTAAACAAATATACTCTAATAAAATTAACATGTCAAAATTTTGAAATTGATTAATAATGATTATTTCAACCCACAAAATTCAAATTTAGTTTGACATGTGCAAACTTGATAGCTCAACTAATTAAGACATATAATCATCAACCAATAGAAATTCGAATTCACACCCTCAACCTATTCTTAAATTAACCTTCTTTATGGTTAATTAATCCCTCAAGAGAAGTTAAATATAATTTTAAAATTAATATGTTGATATGAGAGGTTGAACGAGATACCTTTAACCTGATTAAATTATCTTACGAGCCTGTTGAACAAAGCTGAGATCAATGCATCTCTGTTCTGAGCCCTAGCTTCCTCTCTCTCTCTTCTCTCGTCCTCTTTCTCTCTCCAAATCATCTCCATCATCATCCTCTCTCTCTCTAGGGCTTCCATATTCATCCTCCATTCCATCTCCTTCAACCTTCTCTCCTCATCTCTAACCCTAAATGCTTCCCTCCATTGCCTCTCCATTTCCATCTCTCTCTTCACAAAAATCTTCAATATTTCCTTCAAATTACTACTCTCCTCATCCTTCGCTCTCCTCCATTTCTCGCCATTCTTTATCGTCCTTTTCGTCGTTCTTGTTGAGGTGAATGCTTTGTCTTCGTCGTCTTTGCCTTCTTCGCCACCATCGTCATTTGGATCTTCGCTGGAGAATTGCTCGGTGGCTTTCCTTTTGGAGCCTCTTGATTGATCTTCGGCTTCGATCCACCAGTTTCTCTGCATCCTTGCGGCGAAAATGGCGTGGAGGTCGTTGTAGAATGGAAATTGTTGCTTTGGAGCTTTGGGATCCATGGTTTCACAACCCTGTAGTAAAGAGAAGGTAGAAAAAGAGAGATGAAAATTATGTGTAGGATAACGTTTTTTAATTTATTTTTTATATTTTCGTTCAAAGAATTTTTTGTAGGAATGGAAATTGAATCATAAGAATGAAAAAGAGAGATGGAAATTCTGTGTATTGATAACGTTTTCTATTCTTTTCTTTTTTTTCTTTTTTTTGTTCAAAAAATGGTAGGAATGAGAATTGAATCATGGCTTCAAAAAAATAAAATAAATTAAATTAATAGGGAGCTGATCTTTGATTGATTTTATTCAATAATTTTTTTCTTTTGTTAGTATTTAGCAACTATATAGTTAAATTTATCAAAAAAAAAAACTATATAGTTGTTATGGTTATTATATAAGAATAGGAATAAATGACTTAATTAATAGTTTTAAATAATTGCTGAATGTCATTTATTTCATGTTTCAAATCATTATTAAATAGAATTCAATAATTATTGGGATGAATTCGTTAATACGCAATATCAAATGATTAACGTACATCAAATTATCAATCTACAGTAGTTTGATTTATTTATGTACTTGATTTTTAATTAAAAAAATGATTATTTAGTTAACAAGTAACTCGTACACTTTCACATTAAAAAAACCCGTACACTTCCTTGGAAAAACAAAATATATTTGGTGGAATATTTAATTTGAATTAGGATTGAATATTATTGGATGCTGATCAACCTATAAAATAAACTAAATGTAATTAATTGTTTATGCAATTTGTAACACCATATCTTATTGTTTCTTTTTTTTCCTTGGGTATAATAAATGAGATAGGAAGATTTGAATTCATAACCACTCAATTAGGAACAAGTGTATATTTCTAATGTTTAGGATTTTGTTAATTTTGTTTTTAATTTTATGGTTCTAAAATTAAGATAATATATAACCATTTCTTTTATATTATTCTTTTTTCCAATACTTTCAGAGCCAACCTGAGTATCTGAGTTTGGTTAAGGAATCAAATTCGAATTTTCACACCTCAAATTCAAAAAGGAAAAAAAAAACAAAATTCAGATTTTAAAGAACTATCACCTTTTATAATCAATGTTTGTCATTTTCTATTTTCATAAATCAATTTTAGAAAGCTTTTTTTCAAAGAGGTGAAAAATTTACTAATAAAATTATAAAATATATAAGAAAACGAGAAATGGTTATTGCATCTACTTTTTTTATTCAGTTGTTAAATTAAACATATAATCTTTAGGAAATAAAAGATATTAAGTTTTTTGTTCTTCAAATTTTGGTTTAAGATTTAAAAACTACTTAAAAAAACAAACAAACACAAATCTGGTTAAAAAAAACTACCGAAGAAAAACAAAATCGTAAAAGAATCGAATATTTTTAACAAATAGCGATTATGGAATGAGCATGAGAAACCCTAAAAATCAGAAACGATCATGTAAATCGAATCCTTTACCTTATAACGAGTGACGAGATTTTTCCACTTGCACTTACACTGCTCGTCGCTCCGATTGAAGCCTCTGGCCTTCATTCTTCCGGCGACGGAAATCCAAAGCAGCCGATTGTGTTTAATTTCGGAGAAACTTCTGTCCAGCTCCGCTCTGATCCAAAGCAGCTCCTTCGTCTCCTCCACGCTCCACGGCGGGAACCGCCCCTCCGCCGCCTCCGCATTACCGCCGATTCGCTGAAGCCGACGAAGAGGAGGAAGAAGTCGATGATCGCGATCGTGATCGTAATCGTAATTATCTTCCATATCGCGATCGCGGAAGGATTCGTTCGGATTCGGTTGGATCTCGGAGTTTTGAAGAGAGGAAAGATTTGGTACGTCAATTAATCGGTGTGAGTTGTAGCTGGTATTTTGCTTAATTTGTGTATGAAAGCGAAAAAAGATTCGCGAGAGAGAGAGAGGTGATTTTGTTTTTGGCTAAGGATGGAGCGGTCAGATTTCAGAAAGCGCTTTTTTCCTTTTTCTTTTTTAATTTTCATGTGAAACAGAGAGTCGAGCTCGTTCCGTGGTGTGGCAGTATCGTGTTTATCCTTTCACGCGATATTATAATTATTCTCTCTCTCTTATCTCGTCGACCTGTCGTCACGCTTAACAGAAAATTTTAACGGGTCGGGTCGGGTCTCATTTATTAATTTATTGTTATTTCTTTAACACTTGAAATAAATGGAGATGAGGGATGACATTAACCATTCAAAATAGCCTGTTTTTAAAATGGGCCGAATAACTTTTATTACCAAGGATCTTATTGATTTTTTTAATTTGAGAATTCTACTCTTTTTTATCTCGTCGACCAAAATTTCATGCATGCTATTATTCTATTTGATAATTTGTTGATGATCTTAAATTAGTAAATTTTTTAAATATTTTTTGGTAATATAGTATATTGTAATCAATGAGAGTGGAGGCGAGTTTGTTAATCTTGTAAACTAAATACATAATTTTTAAATGCCAAAAAAAAACAAAAAAAGGTCTAAATTTTGTTAAGGTTATATATAATTTTTACCCATCATAGACATAAATCTAGTCTTGATACAACCTTAACTCAAGAGTCTCTGAAAGTAGTTCTGGATTTTAACTCCATGTTGTACTAAAATTATTAAACCAAATATACATTTAAAATGATTATTCATGTGGACCGACAACTAACTAAGATTGTATATAAATAGAATAATAATTTTTTTTCTCTGTCTGATTGTAATGATGAGCAATTCATGAATTCAACTGCGTCAACATTTTTCCACGATTCTTTGATTAGAACAAGGATTAATTAAATTTGAATATATGACTTTTATATTGAAACAATAGGTTAATTAGTGGCTTGCATAAAATCTGCCCAACTACTGAGGACTTCGTTTGAGAGTTTTTAGGACCTTTAGGAATATTTCAATTGATTGAATATTATACTGTTTTTTTTTTCTTTTTTACAAAGGATTAATCTTTATTAGGGTTTAAATCCTCCAGCTGTCTCTAAATATATGTTTATAAAAGAAAAATGTAAACCATAAATATAAATCCACCATACTCTTCTAAAAGTACAGATATTTACAACAATTTTCCAAACCTCAAAAACTAATGTATTTTATCTTTTTTTTTCTTTTTCCTTTGTACTTACTTGAAGGAGTGAATTTTTATTTTAAATTTTTTTCATAAAAAAAGACTAAAAAATGGTTTTGATCTCAATCAAGGAGTTATTTGCAACTTTCAAGTTCATAAGCTTGAAGAAGAAACAACTATATTTGTTTTTTTTAAAACAAATGTTAACTATGAGGAGTAAAAAAGGAAAAAAACATAAATAAAATAAAACAACCAAGTTTACCAAACATATTATTGTTAAAAATTTACTATTGAAAAATAGAAATAATTTTTAAAACAATTCCTTACATTATGTGCACGTGGGCACGTGGTAGCAAAGTGTTGGAGCCCGGCCCGTTATTCAACTCGTTTCTGCTAAGCAAATGTTGGATCCAAGGCCCATTGTACATAAGAACCTCGGCCCGAACAAATTATAGGAGCCTAGGCCCAAATATGGCAAAGAATGAGAAAACGTCATTCTTAGTATCATATTTACGAAGTGATTAATTAAGAATTTAACCTGACTTTAATTTTTTCTGCCAACATGAACCTAGCTCCTAGCTCACGAAAAATGACATCTACTCTTCTTTAAGATTGGATACTCAAATACCTCTATCTTCAATTTGTTTTATTAAATAAAACATAGGACCTTTTCCCTCCTAATTTGATTAAATTATGTTTATCTTATGAAAAAAATATATAAATAAGATATATATTATTTATAGCATTTCTTTTTTTAATCTAATAAATATGAAGATGAGAGACTGAACTTCCGACCTAACGAAGTAGCAAGAATGTCTTAACCACTATTTTATCTTTCTCATGGGACTTATAACCTATAGCCTTTCTTTAAGCATATATATGGAAGCATCTTTAAATAGAAATGTTAGCGAAATTTCAAAGTGTTGGAAAAATCTTAGAAATAAAATATTTAAAAAGTGTTGCAAAAATAGATCGTATAGTCTTTGTTTAATAACAATTTTTTAATGTTAAGCTTATTTAATATCTATTACTTGATTCTTCCAAAAAAATGCTTTGAAATCTTAGCCAAATTTAAGGGAAAAAAATACAAAAATTTAAGACAAATTTGATAATTAATAAATTTACTTTAATTTTTTTTCTTTCAATAAAATGGTTGGAGATTCGAATTTTCAAATTTATAGAGATAAATAATGAGATAATACTTTCCTACTGATTGCAATTAGGAGAAAGGAACGCGTAGAGAGGAGAGAGAAGATCTATTTTTTTTCTCAAAAAATAAATATATGTAAGATTTTGTGGCGAGCACAATGTCGGTAGCTAGTGGTAAACTGTAAGTATCATTTTAAATTAATGTCTTAATCCATTAAATTAGGCTTATATCCTCTAATTTAGTGGTAAGTAAATTATAATATATAATTCATTTTAGTTTCTCAAAAAAAAAAAAATCATTTTAGTTCGAATAACTCTTATTCCAAATATATGGGGCCAATTAGCCATGTGTGAAGTGTAATAATTGAAGGGTCCTCTTGAATTTAATGCAATGCATGTGTTAGATAAATGAAAGAGGACACAGAAGTAAACAAAAACTACAATTGAGAAGGATTTCCCTAAATTTGAATGAGTAATTAACTTCTATTTATAGGCAAGCGATTGATTGCGATGAATAATATTGTCGGTTCAAATTTAACCATGATTCTCTAATAGGATCGAATCTCATTAATTGTAATAAACAGTTTCTAGATCCCTACTAATGTATATATGCACCATTTTCAATGTGCAACTAGCTAAATTAGATGTAATAATTAAGTAATTTCTTGTCGTTCTTGTATGATATATTTCATTGTCCATTTATTTTCTTAGTAAGACATGGTCTCTTTATTCAATGTCACGTCGCACGAGCACCTTAAAAGGCTCAAAAGAATCTTGGAATATTTAGATTATAATGTTTGAGAGTACTTTTAACTATGCCAAAAATACCTTTCTCCTCACTAAAAACACTTTCTCATTAAAAAAATTTATGTTTAGGATTGATTTAAAAGTGTTTTTGAAAAAAAAAAAAGTAAAAAACACTTCAAGTATTTTGTGGCAAAAAAAAAAATAAATGTATAATATACTTTTGACCCGAATATTATTTATCGGAAGAAACACTTGAAAGAAGTGTAAAACCAAACATTGAAATGATTTGTTTACAACATATCCCAAACATGATAAGTTCGAGTATGATGTTAAAAATCTTTTAATCTTAAGAAGTCTTTAAATCTCATAAAAAAAAAAAGCGAGATATCCATATTGAAACCTAATTGGCTGTTGACTTCCATTTCTGTAATTTCTGTGTGTGTGGCTTCAAATCAAACTGAGAGAGACGACAAGAATAATTTTCCATAGTTGGAGACAGAGTTTGAAAGGGCAATTTCCATCAATGGAAAGGGAAAGGGAAGGGGGCAATTTCCAAAATGCAAAGTTCCAAATTCCTGAACAGGGAAAAGACAGCATGCAATTGTGAACAGCCACAACTGTCTCACTCTTCAAACACACATTTCCCTCCCTGTTTTGGCCAATTACTTCAAATGGACCTCCCCTTTCCTTCTCAACTTATGGTATTATTGTTGAACCAAAAACCCTAACCCTAACCCTAATTATTTTGGGGCATTTTGTTTGTGAGTGAGTTTTTGTAATCTACACAGTTGAAAAGTCGATCGAGCCAATGTTTAAACATGCGTAAGTTTGCTTATTTTAGGATATGAGTGCATGCGCATACGTAAAGCTGGTAAGCGAGGGACATAGCTCAATTGGTTAGTATTATTATTTGTGAAGGAGAACTAACTCGCTTCATATTTTCACTATGCATGGTACGATATTGTCTAATTTGAACATAAATAATCATTGTGACTTTACTTTTGGTTTCACCTAAAAGGTCTCATGTCAATGGAGATGGTTGTCCTTGTTTAGATATCATGGATCTTATTATTCTCTAACCAATGTGAGTGACATGATCATCATATAGCTCAACAAGTTAGGACATTATTTGCGAACGACAACTAACCCACACCATTTTTCTATATGCATGTTGTTGTTGTAAAGAAAATGGATTGGAACTGAATAGAGTCGGATCACAGCTAAAATATAATAGATTGAGAAGAAGTATGAAGAAGAAGTGGAAGAATAGGACACAGTGATCTTAATTACGTCGAAAACCTCTAAACAAATTAGGGTAAAAACTATGGGCAATGATAGAAAAATTTCACTCAATAAATATAAGTTACAAACTTTCTCTTATGGAATACAAAATCTCTCATAAGAAAACTCTCTCTATTGCTATCTCACCAAGCCTCACATTCACACTTTAGCTCACTTGGAATTAGGGATTTTGGGATGGGTCGCCAAGGAATGGGTGCCCACCTATATGACCTATTTATAGTCCAACCATAGTTGCTCATCAAGCAAATTTCTACGGCTACAAATATCCACATCTTGGCACTTGGATAAGGTGATGATCTTGTGACCACAATTTTGTCATATTTTGTACTCTAGTAGCTTCTAGTTACTTCAACTCTCCAACGAGAAGCTTCTTGAGCAAGTTTGGCAATCCACTTAATCTAGTGGCTTCTAGAAATTTCTTGGTCAAGCTTGGCAAAACACTTGATCTAGTGGTTTCTAGAGACTTCTTGAGCAAGCTTGGAAAATATTTAACAGTGGCATGATCTTGTCTAGTTTGAACATAAACTCTTATGATTTTACTTTTGGTTCCATCCAAAAGTCCTCTCATAACAATGGAGATGGTTGTACGATCACCACTTATGTGTAGATCTTATCCTTCCCTAACCAATGTAGAACTTTGGTTGTGCTTCAAACATTA